CCTGTCTACTCACGAGGAGGAGCTCGCATAGACACCACATCATGAGATTGTTTCGACGTTATTTGATCCGTCTTAGCCGTTGGTGCCGAGGCGAGGGATGAACTAACGCTATGGATCAATGGTGCATGAATAGAATGATTTTCACATGCCCTTCTAGGCTCGTGAGCGCGTGAGCACCAACAAAAAGAATACGAGCTTCTAATTCAACTGCAATTGGCTGGAATGGTTGCGAGTTGGAGAACAAAACCTTACATCACGGCAGTTTGGTTGATCCGATAGCCCGGTACACGTCTTAAGGGTCTTCTTGGAAATGCGGAATGTGGAGTGAAGATCGACTGACGCTGACTGTGATCTCCAACTCTCGGAATTCCTCAACCGACAACGACAGGTCCCGATAGGCCACTGCTTGTTTCTTGCATCATGATATCACACTGGCTTCAAATCTGTCGTGAAAGGTTCCTGGTGGTTCGACTGCCTGATTGCAGTCAACGACATGTATTTCGTCCTGTTCTGCCACCTATTCTTATCTCTTCGTCCCATCGACATTAACGATATTAATGATGTAAGAGGGCAGCCCCTCCAGTCGAATCATAAAAAAGAATATCCCACCATAAAATACAACCAAACACCTGGACGTCCAAGGCTTCAAAGGAATGTAGGAGCAATAAACACAAGGGAACAGAAGCAATGCAGTAATCTGTTTAGCAGCAAACCTCTGAGCGTCACCAGAAACTCAGAGCATGGCAAACCCAGCGAAAATGGTGCTCAGAACGATAGTCAGGCCCCATGTACGCCCAGCCTCGATGACGGCGGCGCCGTTGGTCTTTGTTGTTGAGCTATCTGAGTCGGAGTCATCATTGTCGTCGCCTCCTGGGGTGCCAGTGTAGACAACATTGGGGTCGTCAGTAGCGCTGGCTGTCGCTTTAACGGCAGCTGTGTCGGTAGCTGTGGAAGTGGTGTTGTACTTCTTGGGGTTGCTGGCACCGCATGGGTGGTTCTGTCGACAGTCGGAAGCGCAGGAGGCACTTCCCTTGCAGTCCTCGACACACTGGTTACCCCATTCCTGGCAGACGTAGAATGGCAGGGTCAGGGAGTATTCAGACACGTTGGGCTGCTTGCCGTCGCCGCAGATGCAACCGTATGTAAGGGTTTTCTGGACGAAAGAAATTAACAGTTGTCAACGAAGCATAGATAACGAAACTTACAGGATCACATTCGTTGACCTTGGTGTCTCCCTTGCTAGTCTGCCCGCAAATCATAGGGCAGGTTTCTATTTCGTTCTGGCACCAAACACCTGGTTCTGTATTAGTCCCTGTACCCTAAAATAATCGGCGATAGATCTTTACTCACGGCGTTGAGACAGGGGTACACTCTCGGGGTCAATAACATAGTCGGCGTTGACAACGGCAACGGCTGAGGCAGCAACGGCCAAAACGGTTGTTCGGAGAGAAGGCATTATTGTGACGTATTTGTGTCTTGTATGAGATCTAGTTGTGCTGAATACGATGAAGGTATGTATGTGGTTGATGCGTATGCGAAGTCCAAAAAAAAGTTCGCAAACGGTGAAGATTGACGAAAGGTATGGATTTTCTTTGGCCGGGAATCAGCGGTTTTATTCCCTAGTATTCCATTGAAAGCTTCTCTATTTCTCATTATGAGGAGGTTGCTTGTGCTGTGCGGGAAGGAGAGGTATGGAGGATGCTATCACTAAGACAACCGGGGCAATATCCGTCGACTCGGACGATGTTTGACTTACAGATTAAGAACGAGGTATGTGAGTGACGACCAACAATTTGAGAAAAGCGAGCAAAAGGAGAAATAAAATATTAAGATGGCGAGTTAACGACTGTTGAGAATCAAGACCAGGTCTGATATAGCGAGTGTATCAAAAGCAGGTGGTGAGGGAGGACGATGAAGAAAAGGTCGAGGAGGTTCGAGACATTTCAATGACAGACGACCCCCGGTTATATGTATATGGATGCATGGATGATGGATGGATACCTCTCTACGGATACCTTAGGTCCAGATACCTACCGCCGGGCTACAGCGTCAAAAGAAATGATCCGTACCAAAAGCTGAGGCGAGACCCGAGCCTGGGCGATATCATGACCACAGACGGTGGACAAAGTAGCACCAGTAGCACCAATTTTCGCAGAGCGAACAGGGGACTTTAGGAGCAGCACAGCGGCATTGGGCTTAGCTCTAACATATCCCAGCAGCAATGAGACTTTATTTGCTCCATATCGCCCACCACTCGGCGCATTTTGTGCCCAGAAGGCCCCGGAATACTCTGGAGGCTAGGCCCGATAGACTCAACTAGTGCGGTCCGCCGCTGGCTTGGACTTTTTAGGGCGGTCTGGGGAGGGCTTTGGCTCGCTTGGTGTTGGTACACCATGACTGTAATCTCCAAGGCCCTTGGTTTTAAGAGCCGTGATTAAAAGGAGTCAATAGTATTATCGATAATGTTCTTGTTACCGCAGCCCTGTCTGTGATCTCCAGAAGATCCCAATGGAGATCTTTTCAGTTGACTCAACGCTACCGTACTCTCGCCAGATGTCGGTGATGCCCCATCCTCGCCATCGTGGGCATACATACGAGTGGAGGTCGTCCTTCGTCTGTCCCGTCTCCTCTCAACCACATGTCTACCTACCTAGAGCTTGGCTTTGTGGCGGGCGTGAACGGTTGACTACTACAGACTCCACATCTAGTAGTCATGAAGCGATATGAGACCACTACTGCACATTTGTTATTGTGGTCTTCTCATTGTGCATCACTGAGTGCATCTTGGACCACGCGAACGACGCGCTCCAGTTGGTGGTTGAAGTCGCTCACAACATGTACGAGCCCACCATGATCACGTCGGAGTATTCTTTACGGACCATTGGTCACTCGGATGCAAGCATGGTGGCCAACTGTTCCCATAAAGGGTAAATCTGTTCGGTGCTAGGCATCTGGACCAGCCAACAACCTTCGTATTTCTTGCATATGGGCGGAGCATGTCACTGCACTGAACCCTTCGATAACCCCGCGATATGCACCACGACGAGAACATGATGCTATGGATATCGCGCCAATCGTTGGTGTTGATGATATCTTGTTTGTGCCTCACTATGGAGCTGACGCGGCCAGATATCCAGGCTCTTGGAGAAGTGATCACAGTCTCGCATTTTATGAGCTATCACACAGCAAAGTCGAATAATCACCACTTCTAGTAAGCCAATATCGCAGGTGAAGAAACACTCTGCTGGCTAAGACATTTGGAAAGCGGAGTGCATTTGGAGATATGACGGACTAGCCGAAGAGATATCCGCTTGTGTCTTGTACGAGATAGCAAGGTGACTTCGTATCGTATCGAATCGTGTTCGTTCCATCCAGGCATCAATCGAGGCGAAGGCACTTACAGGGTACACAAAGACTTGGTTATGACGGTCACAGAAAGATAACCAAACCTGAAAGAGACCAGCCTCGACTTCAAAGGAATCCTCGAGTCTCGAGAGGTATTCATTTCATGTGGAGAGTAGATTCTTACCCCGCAGAGTCAGGATACTTTCTCCCGATTCAAAGTGAACCTGCAAGAACTTGACAGAAACTTTGGTCAACGTGATCTTGGTTTCTTCCTCCAACTTCGGTCACTCCTTTGATTCCAACCTCCTCTATTTCGCTCCTTGGGTACGATTAGAGTTACAGTTTGAACGGGACCATATGACAATGTCATATGATATGATGAGAGTTCTGCGGCTTGAAACAAAGTCACCAGAATCTCTGTCCTTGTATCCCTTGATAGAAAGCCACAGTCGATGAGATCTCACGCTTATCAATCCGGGTTCCGCTACATCCCGAGGATCAGACGACCGGTATCCGACCGATCTCTTCGGCCGGGCACGGAGCGGGTGTGGCTTTCGAGCTCCGTATTTCAAGATCAAGGCCGGCCGTGAATGCGGCGGTCATGGTGTACCCTTGCAGGTGTAGTATTTTGGTTGATATCCAAGTCAGTGGGCATTGAGTTTGTCTAAGAAAACCTTATCCGTACTACACACAGCAATTGGTTTACTGTAAGTGATTAGATTCAGGTAGGCATTGAACGATAAGTCGACTCTCCTCCCATGTCGTGATACCTCGCGGAGACTGTAGATATACATACTATGAATAACCAAATCCGGAGCAGATTCACACAAACAAGAAGCCAGAGGTCACAAAGTTTACCGGTGCGTTCTAGTTAGGCTGTGCCATGGACCGGGGCACCAGCCGCTCCATCAATCGGAAAAAACTGCAAGGCTCGGAACAGCGCCGTTTTGTAAGGCTTTGCTCTACGACATCACATCCAATTCATCCTTTCAATTGGGACAAGCTATCGCCACTACCCAGACACACACTACCTTATACTATGTCCCTGGTTGGATCGTGCCCTCTACTCGCGCCTTGATTTCATCATCAACCTCATCCTGACGACTTATACATAATTAACCGTTTCTCTAGCGCTCCGCAACCCAAATCCTTGCTCTTTGTCAACTAAAAAGCAGGGCTGCAATTCATGGGCTGTTATCCTAACTCGCTGATACGATTTCTACCGTTAATCAACGTCAACATTACCCAACTGGATCGATTGAATCATTGCTACAAGTCTTTGCGACACGATTTTACCGTTGAATCACATACAATTCCGTACTATTAAAGCTGTCACATCGAAAGTCTCTTCATTAACAACTTGAACGATTCAAGTCTGACATTTTGTTTCAACGCATGGTTGAATGGCGACTGCGATAGATCAAGCGCCTGGCGATGGCAATCTGGCCGCCGGCGCATCCCATCCAGGCAGTTCTGAGACACAGACCGCAGCTACCGAAGTGTTTGAGACACCACGCACATCCTTCGATCATGATCCCAACGATAGCAATCATGCGCGGCACGAAACTGCATCATCTACCGTCTCCCCGAGTTCGATAACATCGCCACCATACTGGTTGAACACCCGCGCCGGCCATCAACGAACCATATCGAATATGTCGACCGAATCCGTTCTTCCTGCCGGTGCTATAACCCTACGTGACAACGAAGCGAGCGAATTCGATGACCGCAATAGCGCCTGTTGGGCCAAGAGTGTTGAGATTGTCAGCTATACCATTGTCAACGGCAGTGCAACAAATATTGGGGCCTTTGTGGTGTGGAATATCCGTGTCGAGGCTCTCAATGTGAGTGATTGGTGGTGGTTCAGCAGTGGCGTGCTGATCTGAAGACGGCTGTTGACTGACCCAACGATAGGGGAGTTACATGAATATTCGTAAACGGTATTCGGAGTTTGACGACTTTCGATATCGGTTGGTTCAGACTTTCCCCGGATTCGAGGCAGCTGTTCCGGCACTTCCGCCCAAGAGTGTCATCTCCAAGTTTCGACCCAGATTTCTCGAGAAAAGGCGGGCAGGCCTACAATACTTTCTGAAGTGCGTATATCAAGAGTTTCAGCTCAATATTATGCTGACCCTACCAGTTGCATATTGTTAAATCCAGAATTTTCTGGGTCGCCAGTCCTCAAAGAGTTCCTCTTTGCATAGCGTTCCTATCGTCTTAGCATCTTCTCTTCTTTGGATATGTTTACCTTTTTGGGTCTCAATCATGGGAGGCCTCTTTGTACAACCGATATATATTGCTTGGCCCACTCTCACGCACATATGCAGCAGCCAACGATCCGTATTAATGATAATGAGTTGGATGATCTACCACTTGTAGCCCTACAGCTGTATTGCATGCTTGTCTGTTCTTAGCGTGTGCTTGGTTCGAGGGCCAAGATGAAACCAAGGTTCGGCATTGTCGTATGAAACAGTCAAGCATATCTCGAAAACCGTTTGCTTCGCCAAGGTAGTCGGCTCCGCCTAGCGGCATGTCATCACTGGGCGTTTAAGCTCTCGTATCCAAAGGGCTGAGTATAGGCGCCAGGGCGCAGCAGGAGAAATCTGGTCGCTAACAACAGGCGCGCGATACTAACAGTTAAGCTGTTAACTTTTGAATGAAGGTTAACATAAACCATGTGGAGTTCAGTATGGCTTAGAGGATATGCTGTTACGCATCAGCCAATGAGTGAGTTCCTTGACGGATTTACGTGCCGCTATTCTGACGATTTGCCAGCCACGAGTCTAGATCATATCAGTATGTAACGGCATTTACCAAGCATCGCGGTGTCTCAATAAAGCAATCTATTGAGATTTTACGGTGATGCCAATGGTCTTTGCAGGATTGCCAAGTGCCGTTCTTCCGTGACAAGAATGACAAGAACCTGCTGGCTTCTGGGCATCGGCCTGACTAGTAAAGCACCATGCTTATAAGAGCCACAAGATCCAGCTCCGAACTAAAGAGATTTGAAGTGTCATGAGTGCATCAATCTTCATCTTTTCTTGTTTCGCAATGTGATTAACAGCCCTTTCCAAGGATTTAATCGCCATTATCACCAAATTTGGTTCCCACCCCCACATCCTCAACCAAGTTCAACCCCACGACCATGACGCAACTCGATATTCTAGAAAACCGTTGTTTGATGTTACCGGTTTTAGTGCAGACCCCAAACGATATCAGCATGGAACTGGAGGGGACCCCGCGACAATCGCCGTTGAGCTTAACAGCACAACACCGTACCGATTCCAAATTCTCAGCCGTCAGCTCTACGTCATTCTCTGCTTCTACCACTGACGGCGACTTACACTTTACCACTAAGACAAAAGATTACATGACTTCTCTGGTGCCACCTTCACCACAGCAATTCGAACGAATTGCGATTGTTCAACAGCAACGCGAACAAGAAACAAAGCGCAGAGATCGTGAGCGAAGGCGCTGGTCGCGCGAAGCCCAGCGTCAGCGCAATAGAGCTGTCAGTATGTCGACGGTCAGTCAGGACGACCAGGCGCAGGCGCAAGCTGCGCGCACTATACAGAAAACGTTCAGAGGGTATCGCGCAAGAAGAGAGATGCAAGGGTTTGGTTTGGACGCAAGTACAAGATGGGTTACTGCAATTCGAGAAGCTCAATTTCGACATGCGACATTGCCACGACCGAAAACAGAAGCTGATAACGAAGCTTTTGATAAGTCAAAAGCGGACGGTTTTGCGAAACACAAGTCCGCCAGTGCACGAGAAAAATGGAAGAAGGCAAGCGCCATTGCTCGACGAGCAGGTCATGATGATCTTTTATCGGATTCTGAATCTTCTGAATCGTCTTCCGATGAAGATGCCTCCCCCGAAGAACGAGCTGCTGCGCGAGCGCGGCGTGAGAAAGCTACTGCTGCGCGGAAACATGAGGCGCGCATGATGGGAATTCGATACTTCCTCGAGATGGTCGATCAGAAGCACCGTTACGGAAGTAATCTTTGCCGTTACCACGAAGTTTGGAAGCGAACAGATACAGCCGAGAACTTCTTCTACTGGCTTGACTATGGCGAAGGCCGCAATGTTGAGGTTGACGGTTGTCCACGCGATCGACTTGAGCGGGAACAAGTTCGATATTTGTCTCGTGAAGAGCGCCAGTACTACCTTGTTGAAGTTGATAGTGAAGGCCGACTCTGTTGGGCAAAGAATGGCCAGCGCATTGATACCACAGAACAGTTCAAGGACAGCATACACGGTGTTGTGCCTGTGAACGATCCCACGCCAGCTTTCAACGCCGCAGCCCAGCCCGAGGATGCACGATCCCTCGAATCCGTTAGTAGTTCCAGCTCCGATTCTTCCCTCGAGTCACGACGAGAGGCAGACCGGGCTGCCAAGTATGCGACCCCTGACTTTGACAACAGTCAGGGTATGAACAAAGTGTCACAAATTTCGGCGTCCACAATCTTCAACAAGTTGATGCGCAAATCTGTCCGGAAGAATACATGGATCTTCGTTGCAGACACAAGCTTTCGCATGTATGTCGGCATCAAAGATTCAGGGGCATTTCAACACTCGTCTTTCCTCCAGGGTTCGCGTATCTCGTCGGCGGGCTTGATCAAAATAAAGAATGGTCGGTTATCATCCCTCTCACCATTGAGCGGACACTATCGCCCACCGGCTGCAAACTTCCGCGCTTTTGTTGCGAGCTTGCGGCAGTCAGAGGTTGACATGAGCCACGTCTCGATCTCGAAGTCCTATGTGGTGTTGATAGGGCTAGAAACATATATTAAGACGAAGCGTAAGGGCAAGGACTTTGCTCAGCGTGTGGGACACCGGAAAGATAAGATAATAGCCCCAGAGGAGGCGGCGCGTAGGGAAGAGGAAGCCAAGGACAAGAGTGAAAGTGCTGCGAAGGAGAGGGAAGTCTTACAACGAGAAGAGGCGGAGAAGCAAGAGGGAAGACCAGTAAAGAAGGTCTTGAAGAAGCTTGGCATTAAACCAACAAAGGAGGAGAAACAGGCGGCCAAGAGGGAGAAGAAGGAGGATGTCGAAAAGATGCGCGTATAGTAAGGCAATTGGTGTTTGGCGAGGTGTTTTGGTTTTACGATATTATACCCTTTATGTATAGAGCAATTCCCGAATTATGGTTCACGACATCAAGTACGAATACCCAATATCACGAATATTCTCTTTATATAGCGGCCAGTTCTGGCTATCAAATGATATTGCTGTAAAGCTCATCTAAGCTATGTAAAATCTTGGGCCCGCTCCATATCCTATGGCCTGAATAGAGCTTCGACACGAGCGATTAACCTACAATACCCAATAAGCAAAGGTATAAGAGTATGAAGAAGCGCAGAAACGCCGTTCATGTGTACCAGGGTGTCTATCCCGAGTAGGTAATAAGAATGATCCATAAGATAACTGATCTAAAGTATGTGCCTTGATTTTGTATGAATCCTTCATCATTAAGAATAGAGGTTCTGAATTATCTCGTTTTTTGTTACATATATTATCTTATTGTCTAGGTATACATGCAAGATGCATTCAAGCAATCTCGCTGCTGACACGAAAACATAAATTATTAATTCAGTCATAACTTAAGCGATTACTTGAAGCCCTTTAGTAGAAACACAAGTATTGCAGTTAGAGAATTTAAAGTTTATTAATTCTTTATTTTATGAAGTCAATAAACTTTTCTGCCATGATACATAAGGTAGTTGCGGCCGAGACTCACTGCTATCATTCCAAAACAAAGCTCCTCTGAACCTCGACTGGTCTGGTAGTTAATATTCCTGTCACTTTATCTGGGAAACTCTCACAGGCAACCAGTGGTATTTATCGCATTGAACAAGACACTGATGTTCGGTTGATTGGCAACCTATATATCAATGAACTCCAAACCAGAGGGATTGTTTTTTTTTTCCAGGTGCGCATGACCAACTCATTTGCCACAGGTGACTCCAGCGCGTTAACGCCTGTAGCTTTGCATTTGTCAGTGCGATATAGGGGTTACAGTGGCGCCATTGCCCTGAAGTTGCAAGAACACTGGTGCTCAAAATCTTGGCATGGTGCCCTCAGCTGCGAGACGGAGCCAAGCTTCCACTGACTGCAAACGTGCAGTATAGACCGGTCGCACCGAAGCCGCGTTCGAAAAACCCCATCCACATCGACAACGCCATCTTCAAACTGAGCTGGCGGACTGAGAGAAATACATCCTTGAAACCATGCCAGGCATTTGGTCGTCTTCCAATGGCTTCCGTCACCCGTTCCTCGCGGCGCGCTGAAGCTCCGCACCAGCATCACCCACATCACCACCTGACGCCCCCAGCAGGAGTATTCGCACATGCCCAGGGAGGAGGCGGAGGAGGAGGGCGCAACAAGAGGGCACTCGACACCAACGATCGCGATTTCGATGCGATCAAACCGAAAAGAACGCGATTAACAGTCGAGATCTTCGCAAAGGGCACTCACGGACTCCGTGATGCCGATATCGACAACAACAAAGCGGCACCACCCACGCGCAAACCTGCTGCCACGCCTACAGTGGCGACTGCGACACCAATACCCCCTCCTCCTACGAACGACAGCGCGACATCGAAGCCGAAGCAGGAGCAGACTCTGACAAAGCACCAGAGCAAAGTTATCAATGGAATCAAACATGAACTCGATCGGTTGCAGCCTCAGCCGAGCGATACTAATACCCAGGAGCAAGGCCGCAAGCTGCGCTCTCAGGAAGCTACAAGGTTCAAAAGCGAACTTTCTGCCTATTTTCCTGAATACGACGAGGTGATTGGGAATGAGCCCAAGGAGCAGCGTACGTCCAAAAAAATCCCCATCGTTTACCTGAATGTTGCGTACAAGATACATCATTTTCTGACTCTACATAGAATTATTCAATGTTGACACGCCCATCGTAATCGTTGATTCCGATCCACGACGCGCCGTTTCAGAAAATCAACGCGCGATCCCACAAACTCACCACCCCGCAATTGAATATCCTGTACGAGGGTACGGCGATGCCCTCTTCTACAATGTATTCGATTGTCAGCAAGTCGATCTAGGTTTTCTAGAATCGCAGTCGAAAAACAAGACCATTGAAGATCCTTTACCAGATAGACTATACCAGCCAATACATCGTCGCGCTGAGCGGCTGGAGAGATCAATACGTAACACCGAGAAAGGCAGAGCACAGCACGA